AAATTTATTCTCAAAATTTGATTAAGTTCCTATATTATGTCAAATGACTGGAGAACCTAGATACGTTGTCGTCATTATTATGTTTATAGCCGATATTTATAGGCCGGTATAGTTGGTTCTTATTTCAAAACCGTCTTAAGACGCTATTGCGGTCCTCTGGTTCATGACACCTCAAGACTGAACTTAAGACGATATTGAATATAAAAACTGACTATGAATACCGGATTATATAGTCAAGTCTTATTTTAAGATCATCTTAAGTAATAAACTAAGTTACCGACGGAACCCTCATTCCGTATTTTTCGAATCATTTCGTTTTCTTTATACAAAATAAAAAATCCTTCTCCATTGCATTCAAGTATATATCCAAACAAAAAGTACTTTCAATGGTTCATGGCATTTTAAGTACTTAAAACGATCTTAAATATAAGAATCGACTACGAATGTAGTCATGTTCATGTTCGTGTTTATCGTCCAGCCAGAATGTTGGAAGTTTTGGAGCGAGAGTGCTCTAGTACAAGCGGCGCTAGCGGTGAATGGTTGAATGCATTTAAAAACACTGCCAATGTTGAATGCAGCCATTCTCTGCATTTTGCACTTTCTACGCTCCGCAGAATTCAGGAGTGCATTTGGGGAGCGCGCTATCAACGCTATTTGTGTCATTATTCTTGTTTCATGCCTATCTCAATAACGGCTGAAGCAGAGAGAAACCTGAGCGATCATTCCTTTATCGTTTTGAACTTTGAAGCTCCCGTACATCAGCGCCACCAACCTCAATTTTATAGAATAATGCGAACTACGTATCACATTGTCGACACTGCTGATAAAGTCGTAGCGTCGAAAATTGATGTGCGAATTATCTTAGCAAGCGCGAGTCCAGGCTACTGGCTACATCTATAAACTATGGATATTAAGATAATATTACACATATTTTATATACTTACGTTTACGTAGTTTTTCTTTTGCTAGCTTGACTAATGTCGGTACAAACGAAACATGCCGCGCGTGTGAGACTGGCGCACGCACCGATAACGGAGGAGTATCCGGAGATTCCGGAGTATAGTAACGTAATTTTGTGATATATTAATATTTTGAAGGAGAATTAAATATATAACTACTACTTTGGTTGGAAGAAAATATGTCTTTAAATAAATTGTGATATAATAATGATAACGATTTATTAAGCCCCTCCGTATAATGTGAATACACAACTAGTAAAAAGTCTATAACAGTCGAAGCTGAATCTTATAGATGCTTAAATAATTTCCATATGAATTGATATACTATATATGTAGTCATTTGAACTGCGCGCCGAATGGTTTTTCAAACTTATTGTTAGAAACGCAACTGAACTACTATAGTAATATCACAAATTAAATTGACAAGCAATTTAATAATTTGATGCTCAATCAGGCATTCTATCAGAGAGATGTTAATGTATTGAAAATCTGTAAAAATTGTGATATAACAATTTCTTTTAAGAAGAATTAAAGGATTGGAAGATTTTCAATAGAAATACAAAGATATATATTTAAGTGTTTCATTGTATAAAAATTAAAGATAGTAGATACCACTTAAAATTATATTCTTGGCGCAATAGTTTTTTTTCGAGGAGTAATAATTTTGGACGGAGAATTAAAGCTGCCATTATTTGGGTTGGGATAAGAAGAACTTCAATAAGAATATTTTTGAAGAAGTAATTAAAAATATCAAGACGATGGTCATCTGTATGGTATGTATAGGAATAACAAGGAATATTTTTTAAATAAAGATACTACAATTTAAGATTTAATTTTTAATTTGATACAACAGCTTTTGTTTGACATATACCTATAATTGATACCATTTTTAGAAAATTTTTAAAAAAGTAATATATTTTATAAAGTTAATACATATTATTTAAATCGCTAACGCAATTTTGTGACATTACAAAAATACGTATCACTTAGGTCTCATATATAAATTAATA